GCCCAACAAGAAAGAACTGGCCGGGGATGTAGGTGACAGGAACTCTGGGGTAAAAATAACTGTAGTAGTAAGGAAAGGGAACCACGGGCCCTGCCTAATCTGAGCCATGACTTCAGTAAAATGGATTTCAAAATGTTCAGGGAATAATAGGTATGATTTTGTGGCTATAGTCTTCAAAAGGAACTCAAAACTGATAAGAAACAGAAAATTAGAAAAAAAACTCTGACAAAGCAATTGCAAATAATCTCAATGCAAAGTACAGGGAGAAGAACCAAAGAAACCAGTTAAAAGGGTTTTCTCTAATAAGCTCATCATTTTAAATACAGATAACTTTAAGAAGAAGGGCACACATTCAAGGAAGAATAGAAAGTAACAATGTGAACCTCTAAGAACAGGCCAGATTTGGTTTAAATAAACAGCATAAGGTTTTCAAAGCAAGGTCAAAGAAAGTTAAACCCCCTGACCAGGTAAAAAGAGAAGACAGACCTTGTCCAACTCCTATCATGATTCCCTTTTCTGTTAGAAGGGGTTTCAACCTGGAAAGGATATAACAAAAATCCTAATAAACAAAATGCAGCCCAAGGAAGGTGAGGGCAATCTACACATTTTAAATGTCTTTAAACCCAGAATCTAAAGTCCAAGAAACAGATTCCAAAATGGATTACAGAAACTCACAGTGGACAAATAGTAGACATTAGAAATTTCTCTAAGTCTTAAAAAAAAAAGTTTAATTTCCATTTTTGACAGAGTTACCTTATGGATGGAAAAACTTTCTTGAAAATTTTAACAAAGCATTTTACAAAGTTTTTCAAAATATTATACAAATGAACACTGTAAGGTTGGTCTGTAGCTAAGCAAACAAGAGGGGTAAACAATCACTCAGAAATCACCAGAAGAATAATCTCTAGTAAGCCTTGCCTAGTAACATTTAACTTACTTTATCAGTAACTTGGGAAAAGGCAAAAACATCTCTAAGTAGGCCCTGCCTTGTACTATTTGATATGTTTTATTAGCTGCTTAAATAGAGGCAAAAAACTGTTATGTTTATGAAATGTATAGATGATATATAACTGTTTAGAAAACCCAACATCCTGACACTTAGAACATATTGAGGATTAGGATTTGAAACCCTCATTAATATGGAAGGCAGTTAGCCATCATTAAAATTTGAAGGACTTTTGTGTGTAACCCCAGAATAGGATCACTGAGTGGAAGAAAGTATAGGGGGACAAATTTCAGGGTGAAAAAAGGAAAAACTTTCTAACAGAATGATACAAAGATGGAATGTGTTTATTTTTGCAGTAATGAGCTTCCAGTTACTGAATATACATAAGCATGGGATAGATGGCTTCTTCTCAGCAGACAGTAAGAAACACGAGCTGAAATCAGTGTTTTAAATTTAATAGGAGAACCATTGCACTGAAAGAAACCTTACCCAGAAGACTGATCTACAAAACATAAAGAGAAAACTGCTCTAGTTGAAATTTTCTACCACATTTCACACTTAACTCACGTGGCATTGGACCACATGATCTCTAAAGTGGTTCATATTTGATCAGTAAAACTTTAATTTCTCAAGATTTATTACTCTAAATAGTTTAGGTGAATGGTCTCCCAAATGGAGTAAATAAAAGCATCTGTTAGGGGTGTGGAGAAAATCAGAATTTATATATATATAAAACTTGCATATACATTAAAAAACATATATATGTTAAAATTATATATCATATATACTAAACTTATATACTAAACATATATTATACATATGTAAAATTATACTTTATGGACTAAGAACAGTATATGTAATTTTCAAGAGTTTCTCATCAGAGCCATGATCAAATATAATGCCTTCTGATACTGAGGTACTTTTTAAAAACAATTTAGAAAAAATAGAGTTTTTGAGGAAAAAAAGAATCAACATCCATACCCACTAATTTAACACAACTGCTTTAATTTTTGTATATTTTTATCTTGTCCCTATCCACATGCAAACATTCATTTTGGCAGTTACCAACATGGTACATAAGATCTCGTGAATATTTCTGCAAATGTCTATAAGCTACATAATTGATTTTTTTACGATTACATAAAGATGGAGATTTCATAATGTACTGAAACAATTTCTTCCTGTTGACCATTCAGATCAGATTGGTTCTCCTTTTTGTTATTATATAATTCTTCCTATTTCTATCTCTGTACATGGTAGCTTTCTGTCTTCTATTAGAAGTATCCTGAAGTTAAGATCTCCAAAGTGGGATTAGTGAACTAAAAAGTATGAACTCTGATGGTTCTTGTTATATACAGTAAAGCCTTCCAATCAATTCACCTGCAGTCACTACCTGAACTCTGACCATAACACAAACCAAGTACTTTGTACACTTTATATCTTACTTTTCACAAGTCTATGTTACTATTCCTGTTTTATGGATAAGGAAACTGAAGCCAAGAGAGACAACAAGAGCATGTATATTTTAAAGTATTAAAGAATATAACCCACACTGCCAAATTCTTATTTAAAAAATACATATACGCATACATACATATTTATTTAAATATAGGCAGCCGTTAATGTCGCACAGTCAATTCCTTCATCTAGATCAGCATTTCCTGAGATATGTTTGGTAACATACCTGATTCTCACTACTTTGGCCACAAAGAAAACTTCTTCCCTGACTATACTGTGGTGTTTTGCCACTGGCTCACACTGAGGGGCACTTTAAAAAGTATCCATATGAGGCTCATAATTACATTTATTGTTGGAATGGTAAAGGGAACTCCATTTAATCTCTTACAGTACCAAATCTGAAGCCCTAAGGGAGAAATACTTCTCAAACAGCAGGCCCAGAAATATTTTGCTTCCCCTAAGCCATCAAGGTGCTTATCTAATGAACAATGGGAAATTTTAACAGATAACATTCCTTTATTTACTTTAGCCACAAGGAAGCTCAAAGCATTATCTGAAATTCTCTTTGGTAACTATTTATCAAGATATTCAAGGGGCACCTGGGTGGCTCAGTCGTTAATCGTCTGCCTTAGGCTCAGGTCATGGTCCCAGTGTTCTGGGATCGAGCCCGCATGAGGTCCCTGCTCGGCGGGAAGCCTGCTTCTCCCTCTCCCACTCCCCCTGCTTGTATTCCCTCTCTTGCTGTGTCTCTGTCAAATAAATAAATAGAATCTTAAAAAAAAAAAAAGATATTCAAGGCAGGCATTTTTCTCAATTTTAATTCTGTCCTTAACCTCAGCCTACTATTCCTCTATTAAATTCCTCATGCTCTAATGTACTTCAACTTCAAAGTAAACTCTCAGGATCAGAGGCCAATGTCATTTGACATTTACAATGTCATTTTCCATATTCATGTTAAAATCTGATTTAAATGGCTTTAAGAATATATATATAGCAATGTAATATTTTTGGGGATCTGCTGTAACTTGTATCGAAGCAACATAAAAATCAGGTTATACTAGGCAGACAATTTGCCCAAAAACCTCACTTTAACTTATTTAGTATTTCACACTAAGGAAATCATTTAAAATTACCCAAAACTTACCAATTATAATTGGTGCTATATTTCTAACTTCATTTTTATTTATAGTCTAAAGCAATTCTAATAAAACTCTTAGAAACTAGCTCAAGAAGTAACTGCATTAGTTCAGGGTTAGGGGCTATTTCATGCTTTGAACAACCAACATAATCTAAAATCTAACTTGGGTTAGGGATTTATTACGTTTATTAATAGCTCACATAAGCAATTCTATCTTCCTTCTAAATAAATTGATCATAGTTTTAAAAACCTTATATTTAAAAAATTTAAAGCACAATTCAGCACTTTTGATTTTTACAACATTATTCTAGGAGAGCAATGCCACTCATACTACAGATGGAGAAAACTAGTAAGACATTACTAAAACCAATAAAGTTCAAATAATTTTCTCAAAGTAGCATGTGCTGATGGAACTAGAACTAGAAAAGAAACCATTCTTTCCAGACTTTTTCTGGAACGAAGGTAGGACAAGGACATCTTTATTAGCAACGTTCTAAAAAATCTTTGCACAGGAACAAACAATTGTGTGTTGGACAACAGGAGATGGATTATGACCTTACTGTGGAATTCCAAGAACTAATAATGAAAGATTTGATCTCCTGCAGCATCAGTGCCTTTAGGCAAAAATAAGTCTGATCCAACTCAGTTCCATGTAATAGATGATTTAATGAAAACAGAGTCAGCTTTGGACATATGCTTTTTAGAGGAGGATAAAAAAGGGTACCAAATTCTGAGCCCAATTGTGCTATTATATTTCTAACTTGATTTTAAATAGCATCCAGCCATTCTTTGAGGAACTTTTAAATTCATTCAAAGGTTGGATATTTTCAGAATATCTGCAATTCTCACTAAATCAAGCCCTATTAACTGGCTAAGAGACTGGCAGTATACCAGAGCTCTAACCTGGGAGACCATGAAGGCACTTTTTTTTTTATTTAAAAAAGATAGACAAGATCTAGTCATATTCTGATTTAAATCTTAAATGTATTTGCATTAGTTTTAGTCCTTTCAAATGATTACATTACACCAATCTATATTTTATACTTCTTGAAAGTTTGCCTCTCCAGTATACAAATGTAATTTACACTCAGAATGATGAAACTAACGTAAATTATCTTCAATAATATTACATTTGTACAGATTGCTTTCTGCTACAGGCATCTTGTCTGATGTATATTTATTAAGAAATTATACAGAAGGCATGACTTTAAAGATAACTGACAGAATTTAACATTATAATAAGATATTTACAATTTATATATAAAGTATATATGGGGTCCTTTTGTGCTTTTTGGAAATAAAGCAACATTTTATTCACATTTATTCATTTGGCTGTGCTATGTTTTTGATACTTGGAGGGTATTAAATGTTCACATGCATCACATGAAATAAAATGGAGGTAATCATATATTTTTAAAAAAATAGAATGTTTTTAGACAAGAGACTTAATGTTCTTACCTGAGGCTGCTGTGGCATTTGTAGGGGTTGAAGCAGCTGCTTGAATCCGAGCATGAGGAGGAATAAGGATGGTAGCTAGAGGTGGATTACTTGACAGTTCTAAAGAAAAGGTAAGACACACATTAGAGCCCATTCTTTTTTTTTTTTTTTTAAAGATTTTATTTATTCATGAGAGACAGAGAGATTGAGAAAGAGGCAGAGGGAGAAGCAGGGAGCCCGATGCGGGACTCGATCCCAGGACCCTGGGATCACGATCTGAGCCACCGAGGCAACCTTAGAGCCCATTCTTAACTTTGTATGTGAAACTACTTTTATTGGTAACAATAAACATAAAATACTTCAAAACACTGGCTTAAAAGAAAAAAAGACACGATAAACCTACATCTAAAACTAAATCAATGAGCTAGTAATCAACTTACAAAGATATATTTCCATTTTTCATTAACTTAAATATACTAGGTTTTCCCATATTACTCTGACAATATTTGACTACAGGAATTGAGAATGATAGTGTCATAGAAAAGAGAATAGGACTAATGTCTGTGTGTGTACGTGTATGTATGCACCACTGCACGCATGGACCAGCCTACCCAACTGTTAAAGTTTCGTTGCTTTATTAAAAATAAGAATGCTTTTATTCCATTCTATTTTACTTTTTAACTCAGTAAGATTGTTACTTTGTTAGTTTTTACCTGCATGTGGAAGTTTCTGTCAATTCTGTAGAGTGGCTTTCTTCAAAGAATCAAGTTCTATATATAAGCCTTAAGAAATAATTTAAGATGATATTGGATCTAAGGACGTAGACAGAGAGCAAGGAGTGTGGTGTGAGCTTTTACATACAAGTATCTGGTGTTAGCTTTACGTAATGTGACCGTTCTCCTGGTCTTATGGTGACAACCTGGTTAATTCTTGTTATTCCAGCATTTACCCAGTGACTGTTCATTTTCACTCTAATAAGTGTTGTAATTTGAAGGGATAATTATACAACCATAATAGCTATAGGAAGACATTATTCTCTGAATTAAAGCATACATTCTGACAATTCACAGATATGGCATGGGATAAAAAAAATTAAGAAAGAGTATAATCTTAAAGTAAATTTGCATAACATAAAATTAACCATTTTAAAGTGCATAGTTCAGTGGCATTTCATACATTCACAATGTTGTACAACCATCCACCACCTCTGTCTAGTTTCAAAGCACTGTCATTACTCAAAGGGAAACCTTTCAGCAGTCACTCCCTATTCATCCTTCCCACCAGCCCCTAGCAAGGTAAACAGTGTTTTAATATCATAGTTTAAAATGTTTTCTGGGGGTGCCTGGGTGGCTCAGTCTGTTGAGTGTCCAACTCAGGTCATGATCTCAGGGTTGTGAGACTGAGCCCTGTGTTGGGCTCCACACTCGGCATGAAGTCTGCTCCTCCCATGCTCTCTCAAATAAATAAATAAAAGCTTTAAAAACAAATTAAGAAAATAAAAATGTTTTCTGTTGCAAAGCCCCATTATTGACTTATTCAAATTGGCACCTAAATATCTAAATTTTGTACTAAATGACACCAGATTCTGGTTAAAAAACAAAAACCAACAAGCTGAAATAAATGGGAGCAAAAGCTTAAAACTGAGAGAAGACTATTCATCATCTTTTCCCCTTAAGTGAGAAGATGCAGGGCAGCTCCTCAAATTAACAGGTGGAAGACAGATGGAAAACCACTGTACTACTGATCAGGTTTGAAGAGATGCTGTTTTCTCAAAATCAGCTTTAGTAGTTATATTGGTTCTCACTGAGGAACAGGAAGATTCTAGGTTGTTTTATTTTACATTAGTCAAGGGCGCCTGGGTGGCTCAGTTGGTTAAGCGACTGCCTTCGGCTCAGGTCATGATCCTGGAGTCCAGGGATCGAGTCCCACATCGGGCTTCCTGCTCAGCAGGGAGTCTGCTTCTCCCTCTGACCCTCTTCCTTCTCGTGCTTTCTATCTCTCATTCTCTCTCTCTCTCTCTCTCAAATAAATAAATAAAATCTTAAAAAAAAAAAAAGAAATTGAAAATGGAAGGACAACTGCACAAATAAGCTAGCAAGAAAGGCATTCAACCTATTCAGGATAGGAGCACTTTTAAATTAAAAGATCTCTATGACCAAGTGCCCAACATCTAAAAGAAAATCTAAAAGGGAAAAGATAGCCAGAGATTTTAAGATAAGGCATTTTAATAATCTCTGATAATCTTTAAAATAAACTCAATATTGTCACTTTACTTGTGGCCCATGCTGCCCACTTTCTCCCATTTATTTACTCTCTTTTATTAGATCACCCATCTTTCTATGTATCTGTATGCCCAGTTGAGGGGGCATGGTAGTTTTATGTCACACACACACACACACACACACACAGGGGCAGGGCTTGAAAAAAAGCAACCTCTTTTTTCTTAGGGAGGAGACAGCCATTTCGGTCTTGGATAGGGAGAGAGGGGTAACTAATGAAAGGAAAGAAGGAGAAAAGTGAAGAAAATAAGAGGCAAGAAAAGGAGAAGCTATGGGATCCTGGAGGTTTTGCTGTATCTAAAGACAAAGAGGAGAGTAAGTAAAGTCCATAAAATAACTAAAAGGACTAGATTCTTAACCTAGAGTCAATGAGTAGCTTTTGGGTGGAGGGGAGGGCTTTTGCAAATTTATTTGAATCTAACATTCTAAAAGTTATGGAATTCTAAAACCCCCAACCTCTGTAACTCACTGTCCTCTTCCTTAATTATAGGAATTCTTTGAGATCCACTGCTTTCCATCTATTAGCTTTCCTCTGCTTCAGAGAGGTGGTTGTCGTAACTTTGCCTATATGAAAAGAGGAAGCCTCCTTATACTTTTGCTATAGTCCTGTTCTCTACACTGAAGTCTGTTCCTTTTGTGGGGACAGATTTATGGGCACTTCTATGAGGCTGGCACAAAATGGTTGAAATGATGTTTTGCTCAGGATAATTACTACCCACTCCCAGTCTTCCTGTCTATCCATGACAGTGAGTAATAAGGAAATTGAAACAATGAGTGTGGATACAAACTGCAGGGTGGGCACAAGAATGTAAAAAAGGATGGTATTTTAGAGGACAGGAACAGCAGAGCAAAAGAACCTTACAGGATCAGGGAGAGTGCATGTATTCTTGAAGACAAAGAATAAGGAGTATAAATGAGACTGAAAATAAAAAGCAAGCTAATATTTATGGAATAAATATGTGTGCTAGGCTTGAAAGTAAGGAGATAATTAAGGAAACAATGAGGTCCATAATACTGAAGTGGGGCTAGCTTTGGAGAAGAGGTAGGAAGAACAAGACAGACCATGTTATCGCAGAGACGTGGCTCAAAATAACATGGCAACAGGTTCAGAAGGTTTTAGAAAAGTTAACAATGGTAAAAGTTTCTTTAACCAACTGCAGATGCCATGAAACTGTGCCATCAAAAACCACATAGTAGTTTATCAGGGAATATCAAGAATCTTTTGATAGGGTATCAGTCATTACGTGTTCCATAACCAAACATTTTAATGGACAATTTAAAGAAAAGCCAAATGAATTTAAAAATAGTTATCAATAAAACCAAGATAGGGACACCTGGGTGGCTCAGTCGGTTAAACATCTGCCTTCGGCTCAGGTCATGAGCCCAGGGTCCTGGGATCGAGCCCCGCATTGGGCTCCCTGCTCAGCAGGGAAGCCTGCTTCTCCCTCTCCCACTCCCCCTGCTTGTGTTCCCTCTCTTGCTGTGTCTCTGTCAAATAAAGAAAATCTTTAAATAAATACATACATACATAAAACCAAGACAGATATCAATCAACCAAAAGGCAGACCAAATTCATTTAACTGAATTTTGCTGCACTGTTGTTTATAATGCAAAACGAAAGAAGAAACATTCCCATGAAAAGATAAACTGAATAAATTCACCATACCTGACTACCTGATAAAACAATCTTTTAAAATATTAAAACAAAACATAAATCTAGTTGACAAAACCTTAAGTACTCCTTAAAGTTTCTATTCTTCTAAACAGATGAGTCCCAAATTTAATAATAAGAGGTAGATAAGAAACCTTCCTGGTTTTTTTGGGGGAGGAGAGGAAGCAGTGGGTCAGTGGCTATGTAAGGCATACATATGTTTGTTCAAACTGTGGATAGTGGGAAAGCTGAGAGAAGCAATCAATGTGTTAACTAGAGGGAAGAAATCAATCCCTTTGTTTACCAGATCTTCTCTTAACAGTGATGTAATAAAATACTCAGTCATCAGGTAGAAAGTTATCTTCTTCATTAGCTTTGAAACTGACCCTGCAGATCTCCAGAAAGGAGTCACTAAAAAGAGGCAGACTTACTTTTTCTTCTACAATTAGTTTGAGGTCTTCACATGTGTATCAGGCCTCCTATCTATATATGAAAATTGCCCGTGGCTGTCTATATAAAGTGGTATTTCTCTACGAAAAGGTTTAGACGATTTTCACAATGGTATGCCCATTTGTGTACTTTTTTTTGAGCAATAATTCAAATGCTGGGATGTGCAACTTGATCTCACACATTACTGAATTCTAATGTTGCTTATTTAGATTTTTTTTAAACAACCATATCATAATGGGCTCCTCTCCTCTCCTAACAATTTCAAAGTGCCCAAAAATCCCTGACCAAGTTTCTAAATCCTAAAATTAAACAAATAACTAAATTAATTAGAAGATCAGACAAATAGTAAACAAATAATTACAAGGCTCACTGTTTCTTGGTGATATTAACGATGTTTAATGTGAGGACTACATAATATCCATGATTACTTTGCCTTGGAACTGCCCAAGAGGGAGCATCACAGTTTATACCAGTCACCCAAAAATGTCTGAATGCATTTAGTATACTACATTTATAGAAGTGATATATCTTGAAAGGTATCTAGCAAAATGCTAGTATTTTAAAAGTTCTGGGGATTAAAAAGAATAGACCTTAATAACCTAAAAATCTTACATTCTCAATTCCATTCTTGATGGAGTATAATAAATGTAGCATTACTATGAATTACTTTAGCTAATAACCTTTTGAGGCATCTAAAAATAATACTAATATTTTGATTCCTGGGAAAGTGAGTCTGTGTT